AAAAAAAAAAAAAAAAAAAAAAAAAAAAAAAAAAAAAAAAAAAAAAAAAAAAAAAAAAAAAAACGTATGCTAACTTCAATAAATGCTCCACAATTTCGGAAAAAATGATAGAACATTAAATCCGATCAAATGGCAAGTAATCATTAACAAAAATTGCCAATAACCATCCATTTTAGCACCATATTGAAAACACTACCTGAAAAAACGCATCCCAAACTATGTCCAACGGAAGCCGGTTCCGAGCTATGAACAGAAACGCGATTTTCGGCCCCTGAGCCGATTGACGATGCAACGACGACATCATCATAACCCGACCATACCGAGACTGCATCATAACTAAACTCCCGAAGCAAAATACAAGCAGAAAAACAAATACGAGCTTCCTCCTCCATTGGAAGAGCGCCTTCCGCTGCGCAACCTTCTGCTTCATTAAGCTTCCTCTCCTGTTCACCCAAATCTCTCCACCATTTCAAGCACAACAGGAAAAACAGGGCATCAACGAGCTCATCGTGATGCGTATCATCGTTTCGCCTATTTAAACCCAGCACGATCCATCGGCTGGGAGAAGAAATTTTCCGATCGCTCGAATTGCGAAAACTCGAATTAAGAGGAAATTGTAAGCAAATTGAAACAGAAATTTCGTGCTAATACAGATAATAAAGATCGGGAAGCTTGTGAAGAGCGAAGAAACTCGTGAAAGCAGAATTCCCTCCGCCGGCAAGCAGAGAGAGAGAGAGAGTTGGAGTGAGAGTAGCTTCAGTTAGGTGGTTCGAGTAGGCAGTTTAGTTTCCACTTTCATTAAATTTTAGTTGGTTTGGTATTTATTATATATATATATAATCATCTTTGCGTGCAAAGTCGGGCATTTCCCTTATTTTCTAATTTTCTATATTTCCCAAATTTCATGAACTTTATAAATAAATATTTATTCAATTTAAAATTATGGAAAATGCATTTTTATAAAATAAGAATATTGGTATTTTAAATTCCAAGCAACCCAACTACTAATTGTGTTGGAATTTTGGGAAGTTAATATGTCTATAAATTTTATTTATTGTTTTTTACATTTAAAAAACCTATTTAAAAGGGATAATACAGCAGCTTCCTACCATAAATGGTATCCCTGTATCATTACGGTTTATCATATGTATCATATTTGATCATTGATTATACACTAATATCTTATATGGTTGATCATACTTAACATTCCAATGCCCCATATGCCCCATATGTATTATATTTGACCATTAATTAGAGGCTAATATCTTGTATTAGTCATTTTATTATTTGATTTTGTAAATTATTATAAATAGAAAACTTTCCTCTGGTATTTTTAGCAAGTATTCTTACAAAATATTTAAAAAATGTTATGATATAGGTAATTTTAAAATAAAATTATAATAAAATATATAATTTTGATATATTCTCAAAATTTAGATTATATAAATTGATATTTGCCCAATTTTATTTTTTTAGGAATAAAAATGAATCGTTTCTACAAAAGAAGAATATATACTTTTCTCTCTCTAAACGACATCGTTTTCCAGGTCAATCGTTCCAGACAGGCTGCCTCTGCAAAGGATCGGAACCCATGACATCGTTATCCATCCCTTCTCAAATTACAGTGAAGAGGTCTGAAAGTCTTTGTCCTAATTTTCTTTTCACTTTGCTTGATTTTCCTCTAACGGCCGTTCGTTTCGCCATTGAAGTCCTTCAGCAGGGGAAACTAGAAAAACGTATACAATCTGCGCATCTCAGAAATCTTCAATTCTGATCGGAGTCGGACGGTCCTCTACATTAAGGAATTTCTCCTCGCGGTTCCGCATGAGTGTGGATAATGGAGGCGCTGATCGGATTGGTGCTGGAGATGCCGTGATCATTGTCGACCATGGCTCTCGCCGCCGGGAATCTAATCTCATGCTGAGTAAGCTAGGGTTTCGAATTTTGGAATTTGCCTGAAATTTTAAGTTCTATGTAGGCTAATCCTCTCGTGATTCTGAATTTGTTGAAAATTTCAGATGAATTCGTTGCTATGTTTAGGGATAAAACTGGTTACCCTATTGTGGAACCTGCTCACATGGTATGTTCTTATGAAATATGTATAGGTTTATGGATATATCTTTTCCTACATTTTGAAGTACAACATCTCTAGCCTTCAAGATAACATAGGACCCAATGAATACAGAATACAAAATAAATAATGATACTCCTAAATATGAATAGTGGTATGGAACTGTAACCACCCAAGTCCATCGATTGGAGATATTGTCTTCTTTGAACTTTTGCTTAAGGTTTGGGTCTGCTAAGGCGAGGTTTCTACACCCTTATAAAGAATGTTTTGAACTCACAATCCACCCCTTTTAGGCCCAAGAGAGTCCTTGCAGGCACACCGCTCTCACGTCCACCCCCTTCAGAGCTCAGCCTCCTCGTTGGTATATCGCCCAGAGTATCTGACTCTGATATCATTTGTAACAGCCCAAGCCCATCATTAGTAGATATTGTCTTCTTTGAGCTTTCCCTTCCGGGCTTCCCCTCAGCCCAAACCCACCACTACCATATATTGTCTTCTTTGAGCTTTTCCTTAAGGTTTGGGTCTGATAGGGAGAGGTTTCAACACCCTTATAAAGAATGTTTCGATCTCAAAATCCACCCCTTTCAAGTCTAGGAGCATCCTTGCTGGAACACCGCCTCATGTACACCCCCTTCAGAGCTCAGACTCCTCGTCGGTACATCGCCCGGTATCTGACTTTGATATCATTTGTAACAGCCCAAGTCCATCCCTAGTAGATATTGTCTTCTTTGAGCTTTCCCTTCCAGACTCCCCCTCCGCCCAAGCCCACCACTAGCAGATATTGTCTTCTTTGAGCTGTCCCTTCCGGGCTACCCCTCATGATTTTTAAAACGCATGTACCAGGGAGAGGTTTTCCCACCCTAACAAAGAATGCTTAGTTCTACGTGGGTTCTCATAGGAACTATGTACTGCCAGTAGTTTCTGTCTTTTTTTTGTCTTTTTCATCCCTTTCCAGTTCTTCCCCTTGCACATATGTTTCAACACATGATCTTAAAATAATTTGATTAGAAAGAGTAACAGTCACAACCATAACCATGTCTATTTTACTTATGGTTCCCTGGCTTCCAGTTATTCTTAGATATGTTTGGAAGTTGGGCTGGAGGGGTTCTAATGATTTCTCTTTTACAATGTTCTAAAACAACACAGGAGTTGGCTGAACCGTCGATAAGAGACTCATTTGCATCGTGTGTCGAACAGGGGGCCAAACGAATCGTTGTAAGCCCATTCTTTCTCTTCCCCGGTCGACATTGGCAACAGGTAACTCACTGTGGGACGCCTAATTTGATGAAATGAGCTGGTGGCCTTTGATTCTTCTATGATTGTTTGGGTAAGAGGATTGATAGCAATGGCCAATGGGTGATGTTTTGCAGGACATTCCTTCCTTAACAGCTGAAGCAGCAAAGGATCACCCGGGAATATCGTATATAATAACTGCTCCTCTCGGTCTTCATGAACAGCTTGTGGTAGGAATTTCTGAAGCACATTTTTTTAGAGTATAGGATAGAGGAAAGCAAGGTGATAGATGATAAAATGAACTGTGAGGTGTTCTGTTGGCAGGATGTCGTGAATGATCGAATAAGTCACTGTTTAAGCCATGCTGCTGGAGTTGTAGAGGAATGTGAAGTCTGTGCAGGAACAGGCAAATGCAAATTTAATTGACTTGGGATGAAGGGCCTATAACAATGTGGAGAAGCTACAGAAGGGGATAATAAGGGTTTCCAGGTATCAATGGCTTGAGAATCTATCTATATCTTGTTTGATATCAATGCTTTGTAATACTTGACCATTTTGGTTGTTTTTCTTTGTTGTATTTTCACATATGACTACAATATGCTCAATAATATTTGTTTTCAATGCTTTATATGCTATCAAAGTCGGTTGGTGTTGTTGCCTAATCGCTTTTAGTTTATAACATTGTTTTCTTTCAAATTGTATTTTGACTTGAGGCTCGAGCAATGCCGATGTTGTCCGTGAAGTTCGAATTTCTCATGACTAACTTGTTCGCTGAGTTAAAACAAGTGCTGCTCAATCGCTATTCTGTTGCAAGAGTAGAATTGTGACAACTGCTTACAATTTTCGAAAAATCATAGCTTTTCATGAACTTATCTATCATAAAAAACTTATACACGATTTATAGGACACCGCCAACTCTCCCTTTTTTACCCAATATACACAATTTATAGGATACAATTTCATTGTAATTTGTAAGAACGAAATGAATTTTTTTATTTCTCATAATTTGCCATTTTCCCCTTTTATGCAATTTTTTTTATCATTGTCTCTCGTTCAATCGATGCATCAAAAATTTGAGTTAATCCAAAAAAATGAGCCAAATATTAGTTAATCTAATTAAAAACTTAAATTTTTAGTTAATGAATAAATGATATATATATTAAAGCAATATTCAAATATATTTATTTATTACATGAGTTTTTTTTTTTTTTTAAATAAATAAATAAACAGATGGCAGGAGGACGGGATAAACCCGCCTCGTGAAACCTTGAGACTTTTTGCAAACCCCACGCTATAAATTCTCGTTCCGAAGCTCAGCGATGAAATGAAAGGCAGACTCATACGAACCGCCATGTCAAGTGCCAGTCTCTTCTCTTCATCCGTTGCTCTCAAAGACCCTTCGTTGCGGTTCTCCTCGACCTCTTCTACTCTCTTCAATGGACGCCTTCTCAGGAATCAGCTTCCCTGTCGCATTCGCTCCCCTGCTGTTTCGCTTCGATGCTACGCATCTTCTTCTGGTTTTGATCGAGTTCGCGTCTCGGGTCCTGTAGTTGAAATGGACGGTAAGGTATCATGTTTGTGGTCTGTCATTCCATTGTTATCAAAGTGAATTGAGTGAACTTTGTATTGTATTCTAGTTAAAACTCATTGAACTCTGTTTTTTTTCCGCTTTGAACATTTATATATGTGCTTGACTTTTCTAGTTATGATTATTGAATTATTCAGATTCATGTGTTTGTAAACTTGTCTTTTCCATTTTTATACTTGTTACAGCTTCACTGATTTTCATTTTTTCTTTCCTTTACAATTAGGTGATGAAATGACGAGGATCATATGGACAATGATAAAAGAGAAAGTAGGTTTACTTTTGAACGAAAATTTTTCGATTTTAATCTTTTGGAGAATAATGATTTTTCCTCCATAACATTGTAGCTTATTTTCCCGTTCCTGGATTTGGATATAAAATATTATGACTTGGGGATATTGAATCGGGACGCCACTAATGACAGAGTTACCATAGAGAGTGCAGAAGCAACTCTTAAGTATGTTCTGCTTGTATTCAACTATTATATATTTTGGATATTCTTATTTTGGATTCAACCTTATTTATTTGATTGTGCTAAATGGCTTGGGCGTTCAAAAGTGGTAGGAAGTTGTTCAAACTATGAATGATGTGCTTGTGGATGGAAAGTATAAGAAAAGTATAAGCTTCTTAATAATATTACATTTTGTACAGATACTGTTTTCCGAGAACCTATTTTCTGTCAAAACATCCCGAGAATTGTTCCTGGTAATTTTCATAGTCTAACCTTTTGTCTTGAAATCCATTATGAATCATGATATAATACTTGGTTAATACAGGTTGGAAGAAGCCCATATGTATTGGTAGGCATGCTTTTGGTGATCAATACCGTGCCACTGATACTATCATCCCAGGGCCTGGAAAGCTTAAAATGGTGTTTGGTGAGATAATTTACTATCATCCCA